CCATGGAGTCAGTTCCGACTCATAGCAACCCTGTACAGGGTTTCCAAGGCTATAAATCTTTATGGGAGCAGAAAGCCTCATCTTTCTCCTGTGGAACAGCTGGTAGTTTCGATCTGCTGACCCTGAGGTTTGCAGCCCAATTCGTAACCACTACACTACTAGCATATATAAATCATAAGATCAGCATACATAAATCAGACAAATTCCTTTACATTAACAAAGAAAAGTCTGAAAAGAAAATCAGGAAAACAATGCCATGTACACTGTTGTTGTTAGGTCCCATGGAGTCAATTTCAACTCATAGAAACCCTATGTACAACAAAACAAAACACTGCCTGGTCCTGCACCATCCTCACAATTGTTGTTATACTTAAGCCCATTGCTGTGATTGCAATGTCAATTCATCCTCATTTGGGGTGTTCCTCTTTTTCACTCACCCTTCACTTTACCATGCATAACATCCTTCTCCAGGGACTGGTCTGTCTTGATATTATGTCCAAAGTATGAGAGACACCTGGCTTCTAAGGAGCATTCTGTTTGGACTTCTTCCAATACAGACCTGTTCTTCTGACAATCCATGGTGCTTTCAGTATTCTTCTCCAAAATCATAACTCAAATGTATCACTTCTTTTATGTTCTTCCTTATGTATTGTTCAACTTTCACATGCATATGAGGCAATTGAAAATACCATGACTTGGGTCATTTACACTAGATACACAAAAGATGAAATATTGAGAAGTAAATCTAACTAGAGTAGAAAAACAAAAAATGTGCACAAAGAAAGCTACAAAACACCACTATGAGAACCCTACATAAATGGAAGAATATACCATACTCATGGATAGGAAGCCTTAACATAGTGAAAATGTTAATGCTACCCAAAGCAACCTGCAGACAAAATGCAATCTCGATCCAGATTCCAGCATCATTCTGTTAAGTGATGGAAAAACTAATCACTGATTTTATATGGAAACAAGAGAGACCCCAGATAATGAAAGCACTGCAAAGAAAAGGAACCCTGTTAGCATAGTAGATTATAAACTGAACTGCTAACCATAAATTCAGCAGTTTGAATTTACCAGCTGCTCCATGTGAAGAAGATGAGCCTTTCTGCTAATGTAAAGATTTACAGTCTAGGAAATCCTATACTGGGTTACTATGAGTTGGAACTGATCAGCACACAACCACCACTACCACTACCACCACCACTAAAGAAAAGCCCAACATTAGTCTCAATGGAGAAAGACTGAAAGCATTCTTCTTGTGAATGGGAACCAGATAAAGGTACTCTTTATCATCAATTAATACATTATACATCAATGTTGTATTTAAAATCTTAACCCGAGAAATAAGATTAGAAACTGAAATGAATGTCTTCCAAATTGGCTTTTAAAAACAGTAGAAAGTAAAACACTTTCTGAACTCAAAACCTACTAGATAGTTATGGTAGTCTAAACAGCTTGGCACTGGTACAATGACAGACACATGGACCCATGGAATGGACTTGAGAACCCAAAAGTAAATCCATTCTCTATGAATAGCTGATCTTTCACAAAGGGCATTCAATGAGGAGATAGTCTCCTTAACAAATGGTGCTTGTAAAACTGGATATCCCTTTGTAGAAAAATGAAACAGGGCCCATATTTCACACTATATATAAAAAAAGAATTCATGATGGATCAAAGACCTAAAGGTAAAACCTATCATTATGAAATTAAACCAAACCCATTGTCATGAAGATGATTCTGACCCACAGCAACCCTGTATTTTGTTTCTGAAAAATCTTTATGAAAACAGAAAGACACATCTGTCTCCCACAGAGCAGCTGAAGGGTTTCAACCATTGGCCTTGTGGTTAGCAGTCTAATGTTTATCCTAGAATGCCATCAGGGCTCCTAAATACAACTATAAAAGTCATCAATAAAAAAGATAAGGACAAACTTAGGGACCCTAACACCTGGCATAAATAAACTATCAAACATAACTGAAAACACACAAATAGCAGAATACAAACTAGATAACTAGGATCTCCTAAAAACTAGACTGGGAACCACATACTGGGAAAAAAGTTTTGGCAATGACATGTCAGACAAGGGACTAATCTCTAAAATTCATTGAAAACTTTAACACCTCATCATGACAAAGGACAAATAATCAGTGAAAAAAATGGTAAAGGACATGAATAGACACTTCACCAAAGAGATATTCAGGCAGCCAACAAACATATGAAAGAATGCTTGCAATCATTAGCCGTTGAGAGATGCAAATCAAAACACTGCGAAATCATCTCACCCCAGCATTAATAGTAAAGTTTTAAAAAAATCAGGAAACAGCACATGCTGGCATGGATGTGGAGAGACTGAACCTTTATATACTCCTGGTGGGACTGTATAATGGTGCAACCACTATGGAAAATGGCATGGCAATTCCTTAAAAAGTTGGGAGCAGAAATGCCATATGCCTGAGCAATCCCTCTACTTGGTATATATCCAAGAGAAATAAGAGGTAAACATATGCACACCCATGTTTATCACAATAACAATTTTTTTAAAAGATGGAAACAAACTAAATAACCTATCAATAAAAGAGTGGATAAACAAACTATGGTATGTACACACAATAGAATAATACATAATGTTAAAGAACAACAATCTGTGAAACACCTCATAACATGGATGAACCTGGAGGACAGTAGGCTGAATGAAATAAATCATTTACAAAAGGACAACTACTACATGAGATCATGATTGTAAAACGTCACCCTTCAATATTCCAGCTCAAGTCTCGAATTTTTTCATTTTCTCAGTTGAGAAATGCTGCTTTCTAAGTCTTTGTATATTTCATTATAATAGCTTTACGTTGTCTTCTATAGCCACCTTTGAAATCTTTTCAGCTCTTTCATCATTTCTTCCTTTTGTTTAAGCTATTCTGTGTTCAAGAAGAAGTTTCAGGGTCTTTTCAGGCATTATTTTGGACTTTTCTTTATCTGATCTTTTGAATGACCTTCTGCTTTCTTCAAGTACGGTGTTCCTGGCATCATCTGGTCTTAGGTCAACATTGCTCACTGCATCAGATCTACTCTTGAGATGGTTTCTGAATTCAGATGGGAAATAATCAAGGTAGTAGTTTGACTCTCATGAAGTTGTTTTAATTTTCTTCAGCTTCAACTTTGAACTTGCACATGAGCAACTGATGGTCTATTCTTCAATCATCCCCTGGTTTGTTTTGACTGATGATACTGAGCTACTCCAATGTCTCTTTCCACAAATATAGTTGATTGGATTCCTGTTTATTTCATCCGTCAAGGTCCACATGAACAGGAACAATATATATTGTTGAAAAAAAGGTTTTTGTAATGATTAAGTCGTTGGTCTTGCAAAATTCTATCATGCAATCTCCAGTATCATTTCTATCAAAGTCATATTTTCCAACTACTGATCTTGTTTGCAACTTTCACATTCCAATCACCAATAATTATCAATACATCTTGGCTTTATGTCTGATAAGTTTCACACTGCAAAAATGGGTTTAAAAAAAAAGAATCTTCAATTTCTTTATCTTTGACATTAGTGATGGGTGCATAAATTTGAATAATAGTCATATTAACAGTTCTTCCTTATAAATGTATAAATATTATCCTATCATTAACAGTGTTGTACTTCAGAATGGATTTTTAAATGATCTTTTTGATGATGAATTTGATGCCGCTCCTCTTCACTTTGTCATTCCCAGAATAGTAGATTATATGGTTACCTGGTTCAAAACAGCCCCTCTGTGGTCATAAATGAGAAAATTATTGATAACTTACCTCTAAAGAAAACACTTAAACTGGAAATATTTAAAGCAGTGGCATATAGAAGGAAGATAACAGCTTTTGTAAGTGTGCCAATTTTCCCACACTTTGTGATTTAAGGGAAAATTACTAAATTTCTGTGCAAGTCAATTTTCTCATATGAAATGAAGATAAGTTATACCTGCCTCATTACCCTGCTCTATATCTTTTCTTTCTTGAAATGTCTGTTGATTGGGAGACTGCCAGTGGCTTGGTTTTCTGACTAATCAGTCAGGTTTTCTGACTAAAGTGAAAGTTGAAAGTTATTGAGAAAATTAGAGTATGCTACAAATAATTTTCTTCATCTTCAAGGACAAATTATATTTATTCAAGCAATACTGACATAAGAATTTATTATCAAATATAGTTTTCAATAAAAACACGTAAACACAATGAATGGCTCAAATACTTTAAACAGATCTGAAAATTTTACATCTGAAATTTGCCCTGTTGTTTTTCACTGCAATTGATGCTCATGCATACTTCATTACAGTTTTCAGCTTATCCAATAATAAAAACAAGCATAATAGTGACTCTGTCTTTTTTCAATACTTTCTCATTCATTCTTACAAACACTAAACACCTGTTTTACCTTATAGACTCAAATATCTCAGTAGAAAGACTGTATGTAAAATCATACGGTGTTAAAGTTTCACGTTTAAGACTTTTCTTTTACAATTATTCAAAGAAAATGATTCATTAATTTCTCAGTCTAACAATATCATAATTTTCAAAACACTTTGTCCAAAGAATTCTCTCACAAGCACTTTGATCTTCAAAACTAGTAAAATGTCTATGTGGTTACAAGTTGGGCTGTTAATCTCAAAGTCAGCAGTTCAAAACTACCAGCTGTTCTGTGGGAGAAAAGTGAGGCTTTTTTCAACCCTAAAGATTTACAGCCTCCGAAACTCTATGCAGGGTCGCTGTGAGTCAGACCAAACTCCACAGCACATAACCACCAACCCATTTATTACTAAATGTTTTACCCCTCAAAATTTTAACTTAATTTGCCTAATTTTACCAGTAGTAAAAATGTAAGTTGTCACTTTCTAAAGGTATATAAATTTCTTCAAAATTCTGGGTTTACAAAAGATCTCATCAAATATAATCTGACCACATAACTTTGGCTCAGATCCATAATGCAGCGCTTTATGCTCTCTCTCAGCAGATCACTGAAAACTTAGTCTATGAAAGGCCAGAGGACCCCCTGCGTTTTATGTTGTGCCAGGTATGGAATTGGAGCAAAAGATCAACCTCTTTCTTTTTATTGTTAATAAGAAGCGCATACATTGGACTGCGAACCACAAGATCAACAGTTCAAGCCCTCCAGCTGCTCTTTGGGAGAAAGAAAAAGATTTCTACCTCCACAAAGATTTAAAAACATGGGAAACCCTACACAGGGTCTATATGAGTCGGAACTGACTTGCTAACGCTTACCAACAGCAACAATATACCTAAAAACATGTACAGCTCAGTTAACTATCATGAAGTGAATATACCTGTAACAACTATTCAATTTTATTCAATTAATTCTGATAATTCATTTGCAGATTCTTTGGATGTTTCTACATACATCATCATGTCATTTCTGTTTTATTTTGACCTTTCTGATTCTTACCCTTTTTTTTTATTCTTGTCTTGCTACATTGTCCTATATGTAATTAGATTACAGATGTTATTAGATTATATATGTACTTACAGTGTTATATTACACATATAATATAACATATATATTTATAATATTTACTGTATTATATCTTCTCTTTGACTCTTCAGACCTTACCTTCTTCTCTTTTCTACCCTACAAAGAGGCTAACCCATATGGGTTATTCCTTCTGATTTACAGTTGAGTTCATCCAATGGGTAATCCTGGAGGAAGATTGGAAGAAGGAAGCAGGGTTATTCCCTTGGATTTCTCCCTATGAGATCACCTTGATCCGATGTTCTACGTCTGTCAGAGATCTCTGCTCCTCTCAAGGCATCTTATTTTATGTGACTCTCCCTTCTGAATTCTAGGAAGGCTGCCTCTCTTTTGTCCCTTTAGCTCTAAGATTAGTTCAGCTACTACTAGCTTTGGATTATTGTACTAGCCCCTCTAACTTTCTCATGCCTACTTTTTAAATATCCCTTTTATGAATAATCATTTAATTATTCTATTTCAAATGTTCCATCTTTTTCTTATTGAGACATTGACTGATGTAGTACACTGGTTAGGGATATCCAGCATGTTGTTTTTGTTGTTAGGTACCATCTATTCTGTTCTGACTCATGGCGACCCTGTGTACAACACTGCTAGGTCCCATGCCATCCTCAGAATCATTGCTGTGTTTGAACCCATTACTGCAACCATTGTGCCAATCCATCTTATTGAGGGTCTTCCTTTTTTCACTGTCTACCAAGCAGGAAGTTCTTCTCCAGGGACTGGTCCCTCTCGATAGCATGTCTAAAGTATGTGAGACAAAATCCTCACTTCTAAGGAGCCTTCTTTCTGACTGTGCTTCCTCCAAGATAGATTTGTTAATGGTAGAGTCAATATTTTTTTTTGCCAACCCCATAACTCAAATGCATCTATTCTTCTTTGGTCTTCCTCATCCACTGTCCAGCTGTCCCGTATAAATGAGGCAATTTAAAATACAATGTTTTGGGTCAGATGCACTTTAGTCATTAAGGTGACATCTTTGCTTTTTAACACTTTAAAGAAGTCTTGGGCAG